AAAAAAAAAAAAAAACTTTTTCTTTTTTGATAAAGGAAACAAGGGTAAATTGCTACAATTCAATTTGATGAACCTGACCTATACCCTGACCTATACTCAGAGAGGCAGTTACTCTAAATACCAGCAGAGAGGGAAGGAGTCTTCACATCAAGTATCAATGCTATCCCTTCTGTACACATGGTAGATAGGGACAGGCAACTTAGACATTGGCTACCTAAAATGATAAACGCACAAAGTAACTGGCTTATGAGGTTTCTAGAAGTTTAGTTTAAGAGTATGGGGGGAAAGAAAGAGTTCCAACTGAATCGTTTTCGTCTTGTCTAGATGGGTCTGGTGAAAAGAGATGAGGATAAGACTCCTACGACTCAATAGTGAATAATTGTTATCATGACTAATTGTGACTGTCACAACTGTAAAGGTAAAAGTTTTGTAACAAAAACAGGGGAGTGGTTAATCTTACAGTCCAGAAACAGAGAACCCTAGGACCATCAAGGGAGGAGCCCACAAGCAGAATGCAGTACCTTATCCAGAGAAACAGCTACTTCAGAGACAGAGGCAGAGATGGGATCATTAAGAGGGGGAGTGGCTGAGGACTCTAGATTTATGGGAAGAGAGGGACTAAGAGGTGGTGGCCAGGAGGCAGACTTGCAGAATGTGCCCTTTGGAGATGTAAATTATTATATATGACTGAGTGTCTTTGTTGTGTTTTTGTTGTTGTTGTTGTTTGTAAAAGCTAAAGTAGATAGAGAGAAATACTGTTAACTGATGGTACATGGTGGGGGTTATAATCATTGTAATGAAACAAGGTGTATGATTTGTTGAATGTAAAACTGATGATCTGCTCTGTAAACTTTCACTCAATCCACAATAAAAACCTTTTTAAAAAATCATGATGAGATACAATTAAAAGAGACTTATAATAAAAAGTGGCAAAAGAACATCTTCCAGTGAAGATAGAGAATAAAAATTGGAATAGGGATGTGTATATTATTTATTTTTCCTATTCTATTGTTAGTATTTTGTTATTTCCAGTTACTGTTCTTTCCTTTTACTAGAGTTATTGTTAGAAGAGGAAAACAGGTGGGATGATGCATAAGGGAAGGTCAGAGAGAGCTGAAGAACTAAAAGGACTCACCCCACCAATGATGGCTTTAAAGATGAAGGTAGCCTTAATCCAGGAATGTAGGCAGCCTTTTGGACCCTGCACACAGGGACCCTGTATAAGGGGTCCAAGGAGTGGCTAGTGGGTTTGAACTTCCAAGCTTCTGGTTAGCAGCCCTGTGCTTATCCAACCACACCACACCAGGACTTTCCAACCTCTTCCCTTCATCTGACAAGGAAACAAGACCTCAGTTCTATAACTGCTAGCAACTGAATCCTTCTAGTAACCTAAATGAATGTGAAAGCAGATTTATTCCCAAAATCTCTGGAAGAAATGCATGTCTACTGATAACTTGAATTTGGTCTTCTGAGACCTGGAGCAAAGAAACCAGCTGATCCACGCTGATCCCTGACTTCTCGCCTAGAGGATCTTTGAAATAATAAATAGATGTTAAGTGGCTAAATTTGTGCTAATTTATTATGATAGCAATAGAAAAGTAATGAAACAGAAAAGTGGCTGTTATTTAATTATTAAAGGACAAAAAGATTTCATATTCAGGGCTTATAGCTAAAATCAATTACTTTTTATTCTTGAATATGGCAAAATCCTTACCTTTCTTGATAAAGCAGCTAACTCATTTGTCATTGACTTTGTTTCCTTTAATACTTCAGTTACGGCCTCTTCACTCTCCTCAATATTGTTGTTAATATTATGTATAGATGTTTCATAGTGATGATATAGGTTATCAACTTTATCTATCTCTTTCCTAAGAGAAAAGCACAGTTGATATTTCCAAATTGAAAGGAAAACTAAATTTAAATAATCATATTCAAATTCATTCCTAACTTAAAAATAGGAATCTATGGAATTTATTTATCCCTAAAATTACTCCCATTTCAGAGCAGCTCCCCACTTTCTGCAAATTATTTGGAGTCCCTGGGAAGCACAAACAATGATAGATCATTAGCAAAAAGGTTCATGGTTCAAACCGACCCAGAGCTGACAGACTTTATTAACTCCTAAAATCTTGAACCACCACTCATCTCTCAGTTTGTCGTACTGTGGTGGCTTGTGATTCTGGAAGCTATGCTATGAATATTTTCAATACCAGCAGTGTCTCCCATGGTGGACAGGTTTCAGATGAAGACAGATTAGGAAGACGGACTGACAAACTACTTTCAAATGTTTAGTCACTGAAAACTTATAAATAGCAGAGAAACACTGTCAGAAATAGTGCAGGAAAATGAGCTCCTCAGGTTGTAAGGCACTCAAAGTATGACTGGGAAAGAGCTGCCTCCTCAAAGTAGAGTTGACCGTGATGACACAAATGGAATAAAGCTTGTGGTAGTAAAGCCCTGGGGACCTTCATTTGCTGATGGGGCACAACTCAAAATGAAGAGAAACAGTTATAAACATCCATTAATAATTGGAACGTGGAATGTACATAGTAAGAATCTAGGAAAACTGGAAATTTCAAAGATGAAATGGATCACATAAACATTGATATCTTAGACATTAATGAACAGAAATGGACGGTTTTGGGTCATTTTGAATCTGACAACCACATAGTTTACTATAGTGGGAACGACAAATTGAAGAGGAATGGTGTTGCATTCATCATCAAAAAGAACATATACAGATCAGTCATGAGGTACAACACTGTCTGTGATGGGATAATATCCATGCACCTACAGGGAAGACCAGTTAATACCAATATTGTACAAATTTACACATCAAACACTAAAGCCAGTGAGGATGAAATAGAAGAATTCTATCAACTTCTTCGATCTGAAATTGATCAAACATGCATTAAAGATATATTAATCATTACTGGTGATTGGAATGTAAAGGTTGGAAACAAAGAGGAAGGATCAGTACTTTCAAAATATGGCCTTGGTGATAGAAATGATGCTGGAGATCGTATGACAAAATTCTGTAAAATCAATTATTTGTTCATTTCAAATACACATTTGTTCATTTTTTAACACAGCATGAGCCAGCTATACACATGGACCTCAGCAGATGGAATACATAGAAATCAAATTGACTACATCTGTGGAAAGAGAAGGTGGAAAAGCTCCATATCATCAGCCAAAACAAGATCAGGGGCAGATTGTGGAGCAGACCATCAGTTGCTCATATGCAAATCCAAACTGAAGCTGAAGAAAATGAAAACAAGTCCATGAGAGCCAAAATATGGCCTTGAATATATCCCACCTGAAGTTAGAGACCATCTGAAGAAGAGATTTGATACATTAGACAAAAACCGAAGACCAGAAGAGTTGTGGGATGACAACAAGAACATCATATAGGAAGAAAGCAAAAAGTCATTAAGAAGACAAGAAAGAAGAAAAAGATGAAAATCGATGTCAGAAGAGACTAAAACTAGCTCTCCAGTGTAAGGATGCTAAAGCAAATGGAAGAAATGAGGAGGTACAAAGGCTGAACAGGAAATTTCAAAGGTCAGCATGAGAAGATAAAGTCAAGTATTATAATGAAATATGCAAAGATCTGGAGTCAGAAAACCAAAAGGTAACAACATGCGCAGCATTTCTCAAACTGAAGGAAAGATTTCTGGGCAAATAATTAAATGATGCAGAAAAGTATAAAAAAGAAGATGGAAGGAATACACAGTCACTGTACCAAAAAGAAATAGTCGATGTTCAATCATTTCAAGAGATAGCATATATCAAGATAATATAACTTGGTATCAAGATATATATCAAGAGCCAATGATACTGAAGGAAGAAGTCCAAGGTGCATTGAAGGAATTGGCAAAGAACAAGGTACCAGGAATTGATGGAATACAAATTGAAATATTTAAACAAAGTGTGGCAGCACTGGAGGCACTCACTTATCTATGCCAAGAAATTTGGAAGACAACTATCTGGCCAACTGATTGAAAGAGATCCGTATTTGTGCCCATTCCAAAGAGAGGTGACCCAACAGCATGTGAAAATCATCGGACAATATCTTTGATATCTCATGTGAGTAAAGTTTTACTAAAGGTAATACAGACACTACTGCAAGCTTACATCGACAGAGAACTTCCAGAGGTTCAAGCCAGATTCAGAAGTGGATGTGGAACAAGGGATATCATTGCTGATGTTCGTTGGATCTTGGCTGAAAGCAGAGACTACCAGAAAGATGGTTACCTGTGCTTTATTGACTACGCAAAGGTCTTCGATTGCATAGATCATGACAAGCTATGGACAACATTGTAAAGTATGAGTATTCCGGAACAGTTAATCGTGCTCTTGAGAAACCTGTACATAGACCAAGAGGCAGTTGTTTGAACAGAACATGGGAACACTGAATGGTTTAAAATTAAGGAAGATGTGTGACAGGGTTGCATTCTTTCACCATACTTATTCAACCTGTATGTTGAGCAAATAATTTGAGAAGCTGGGTTATGTGAAGAAAAACGTGGCATCAGGATTGGAGGAAGATTCATTAACAACCTGTGCTATGCAGATGATACAACCTTGCTTGCTAAAAGTGAAGAAGACTTAAAATCTTTACTGATGAAGATCAAAAACCATAGCTTTCAGTATGGATTACATCTCAATGAAAAGATAACAAGAATCCTCACCACTGGACCAATAAACAACATTGTTATTAATAGAGAAAAGGTTGAAGTTGTCAAAGACTTCATTTTTCTCGGATCAACCATCAACACTCATGGAAGCAGCAGTCAAGAAATCAAACGATGTATTGCATTGGACAAATCTGCTGTACAAGACCTTTTTAGAGTATTGAAGAACAAAGATTTGTTTGAGGACTAAGGTATGCCTGACCCAACGATGGTATTTTCATATGCATGCGAAAGTTGGACAGTGAATAAGGAAGATCATAGAAGAATTGATGCATTGTATTATGGTGTTGGAGGAGAACATTGAAAGTACCATGGGCTACCAAAAGTACAAAAAGATATGTTTGATGAGGAGGGTCAGAGAAAAAGAGGAAGACTCCAGCGATATGGATTGGCAACATGAATGGTCTCGAGCGTGGCAACAATTGTCAGGTTGGTCCAGAACTGGGCAGTGTTTTGTTCCGTTGTGCACAGGGTCACTATAAGTAGATACCATCTCGATGGCACCTAACAATAACAACAAAGTCTTGAAAATCCTATGAAAGAGTTCTATCTCACATACATGGGGTTGTCATGAATTGGAAT